GCCACTTTGCCGCATCAGGAGATTGATTTGTTAAAAATTGTGAAGAAGGCTTCAGATCCGATTAGCTCTGGCGGCCTCGGGTTACAGCTTCCTCTTATTGTGCGCTTTCCTGATGTGCTTAAGAATCGTCTTGAATCTCTCCAGTCGGCATTTGATCATGCCATTCAATCTCAGGGATATGGTTCTCATTACCAGGGTGTTTTCCCGGTTAAATGCAACCAGGACAGGTTCGTTGTTGAGGACATAGTGAAATTCGGATCTCCTTTCCGTTTTGGTCTCGAAGCTGGCTCGAAACCAGAGATCCTCCTAGCAATGAGCTGTTTGTGCAAAGGGAATTCAGATGCCCTTTTGGTGTGTAATGGTTTCAAGGATGCGGAGTACATTTCTTTGGCTCTTATTGCCAGGAAGCTTGCTTTGAACACTGTGGTTGTTCTCGAACAAGAGGAAGAGCTCGATTTAGTGATTGATTTGAGCAAAAGACTCTTCGTTCGCCCTGTGGTTGGCGTGCGTGCGAAGCTGAGAACCAAACATTCTGGTCATTTTGGGTCTACGTCTGGCGAGAAAGGGAAATTTGGACTTACGACCACCCAGATTCTTCGGGTGGTTGGGAAACTTAAACAGCATGATATGCTTGATTGCCTTCAATTGCTACATTTTCACATTGGATCCCAGATTCCTTCCACTACCTTGCTCGCCGATGGCGTTGGTGAGGCCGCTCAGATCTATTGTGAATTGGTCCGTCTTGGTGCCAACATGCGCGTAGTTGACATTGGAGGTGGTCTGGGTATTGACTATGACGGTTCGAAGTCTCCGGACTCTGGGTTATCTGTTGCATATGAACTCGATGACTATGCCTCTATGGTTGTTGACGTAATTCGCTCTGTATGCGACCGTAGGTCTGTGAAGCACCCAATACTTTGCAGTGAAAGTGGTCGAGCAATCGCCTCTCATCACTCCGTTCTGATTTTTGAGGCCGTTTCTGCTAGTACATATGAGGTCCCATCCATGAGCTCCATTGAACTTCAGTATCTTGATGGGCTAACAGACGATGCCCGCGTAGATTATCAGAACCTTTCGGCTGCTGCTTGTATGGGTGAGTATGAGACATGCTTGCTGTATGCAGACCAATTGAAACAACGCTGCATTGAGAAATTCAAGGATGGGTGTTTGGGAATGGAACAACTGGCAGCTGTAGATGGCCTCTGTGCTCTCATTTCCAAGGCTGTTGGAGAGTTGGACTCTGTAAGATCTTATCACGTGAACCTCTCTATTTTCACTTCCATTCCAGATTTCTGGGGTATCGATCAGCTGTTCCCTATAGTCCCCATTCATCGTCTTGATCAGAGACCTTCAGTGAGAGGCATTCTCTCTGATCTTACCTGTGACAGTGACGGGAAGATCGATAAGTTCATCGGTGGCGAGTCGAGTTTGCCATTGCACGAGATGGAAGGCAATGGTAATTTGTCAGGTGGAGGTGGGCGATACTATCTTGGGATGTTTCTGGGCGGGGCTTATGAGGAGGCTCTCGGTGGTGTTCACAACCTGTTTGGTGGCCCGAGCGTAATTCGAGTAATGCAGAGCGATGGACCGCATAGCTTTGCGGTTACTCGCACTGTGCCTGGGCCATCATCCGGGGACATCCTCCGAGTGATGCAGTACGAGCCCGAACTCATGTTCGAGACGCTCAAGCACCGAGCAGAGGAGTTTGGGCAGGAAGATGATGATGGTGGTGAGGGCATAGCCAACAGCTTGGCCATGTCCTTCCGCAACATGCCTTATTTGGGTAGCCCATCTTCCTGTTTCAATGATACCGAGTACAATGGTGCTGTGGATTCTGGTGCTGGCGATGATGCCGAGCAGTGGACTTACTGCTATGCTTGACAGAGTTGTTTAGACTTCGTTGTCCTCAGCCATCCCTACTTAGTTATCGCCTTTCTTCTCTAGTGGGTCTGTTTTTGTTGTCCTTATGGGTCCGTCGATGTATTTCCATGAATTTTCCTTTTTCTCCAAAAAAAAAAAACCAAAAAACAAAAAAAAAACCTTTTGTTTTTTTCTTTGGTGTGTTGCAGCAAAGGGTTGTGAGAGCAAAGCAACAGCAGCAAAGCTCCTTTTCCTTTGGCTTTCCTTCGTTTTTTTCTTTGTAACTTTCTTTTTTTTAGTACAGAAAGAGAGGGAATGGGAACACCGAATCCACCCTTTTGTAAAATTTGGGATCTCGTTCTCTCTTGGTAATGTCAGTGTAGAATTTTAAGTTTTTCAGAAAAAAGAATGGAAGAAAAAGAAGCCATCAATGGCTAATTTTCTTTTCTTCAATGGTGCCTTTTGAATTGATTCCTTTGCTCTTAAACATGTAGTAAATCGAAAAGGGTTTCATTTTCTATAATTCTTTGTGAAGCCATGTGATGGGGATTTTCTGGCGTTGTGATGAAGGGTCAATATCATCCATATTACACTTGTGTGTGTTGGTTTGGATTTGTCATTACAGGATGGTGCGGTTGGGGATGGAGCTTATCTGTTCATGCAATGCCCCTATCGGTTTGCTGTCCACAGACTGCTGTGTGCTGCTCTGTCCAATCTTTTTCAGCCTCAGATTGGTCCTGTGGTCAACAACTGGAAACTGTGCGGTAGAGGTAGATTCCCCTCTTCATGTTCATCTCTTTTCAATTTTCTCTTTTAGCTTTAATTTAGAATGGTGATCTGTGGTATATAGGAAGAGAAATATTTATGGTTTTTTCTCTTTAATATGAAATCTAGAGTAGAGTAATGGCTGAAAAGGCATCACTGTCATGGATTTGTTGTCTCTTCTGATATATTCTATGTCGTCTCCCACTGCTTATTGTCTCTATATATTGATTTCTTTATTCTGGATATCTGTTTCTTTAAAAAGATTCTCAACTCTTTCATGATCATCTTAGTGTCGCTAGGAAAACACGAAAAGATTCTCGACTGGTTCTTAACCATTAGTGTGCGGTGTTATTAGGAAGAAATGATACAGATTCTTTTGGACTCTGTTGTTTAATTCACCCTACACCACTCCTAGTGCTATTAGGAGAGAGGTCCATTGTAATGATGTGATTACTAAGCTCTCTTTGTTATCTCTTAGCATTTAAAAAGAGTTCGATTCATACTTTTTGGTATCATTCAATGTCGTGTGGCATCAAGCAGGATCGGTCGATGGATCGTCTTGGGATGAGAGAAATGTCATGCTGCCCTGCATTTGAGACGACAAGGATGGAGGAAAGAGATCATTGGTAAATATTTTATTGTAGACATGTTTTTTCTTTGTCCAAAATTTGATTCTCAATTCTTTCATAATCATCCAAGTGCGTTTGTTATTAGAAAGACGTGAAATGATTATTCTAGGCTCTTCGTTGACCTGAGCATCCTAATGTGTTTGCTATTAGGAAGACATGATGTTATTAAGTCTTAAATATAAAAGATTCTTTGCCTCTTTTCTTTTAATAATCTTTCTTATTTTGAAGATGCAATAGATTTTGATGTTATTAGGAACATGTTTTGATCTGTGGAGAAAGAGTGAAATCCCTCTTGTTAGGCAAGCCGATGGCTAATGTGCTCGTGCTATTATAGCATTCGGGTCGAGGAGGTCAATTACACACGAGCACGAATGGGCAAAGAACATACCTTCCGGTACCGAGTGACTAAGATGAGTACACACCTCATCCTTTTGAGCTGAATTTTGGTGAGGGCTGGTAAAACGAGTACACAAAGTCTATGGCCTTGGTTGAGTTCAAGCCTCTCAAATATGGTGGGGTGGGCCGAACCCCAACCCCAACTCTGTGCTAATAATGATCGTTGGGCTCTATTATTTGGTATTGATTACCAAACATGTTTATGTTCGGGTTTCTTTTTTTCCAAGATCCAAGAAATAGAAAATAAGAAACAAGAACATGGTCCAATGATCACGGGACAAATATTAATTGAATGTCATTGGATGATCACCACAAAAAGGAAGCTTTAAAATCACATCTAAATCAGTATAGATGAAAATAAGTTGAAAGGTTGGAGAAATTTTATCTAAATTGGATTGGGCCAAACCTTATACGACGGAGGTTGGTGTAGAAGTCGATAACATACGAACGACCAAAATCAAGTGTCTAAAGGTAGAGACATGATGAAAGTACGAGTGAACAACAAAGAGTGTGCTAAACTATTAGGAGTCAAAACTGCAGCGGTTAAGAAGTTGCATCCTTCCGAATAGGAACTTGCCTATCCATGGGTATACCATGAAGTTACAAAGGTTGTACTTGTAAACTAACCTCCTACGGCAAAATAGGCACAAGAAAAGAGCAATAGACCGGATCAACCTACAAAAACGAAACGGTCCCTCTGTAACCAGTCATCCATAATATCGAATAAATCATTTTCGTCTTTGGCTATAGTCATAGTGATCCTCCTATTCAACTAACTTCAACCATTTTCGAACACCTTGTAGCATTTTTAGGGCTTTCAAGTCTATCATTGCTGTATGATTTCTACTGTCTTTTCTTTCTAATGGGTTTCGATTATAAATTCATTATTTTATTGGTCCATAATATGACCTAAAGCAATATTACAAACTCAATACTGTAAGTGAAAGTATCGAAACTTCAAAGAAACAATGAGAATGAGCGAGAAAGGAGGTACGCTTTCTTTTGAATTGTGAATAGTACTAGCTTTGTGTTGATTGTATTCATTTGAGTGTGATTCGTGTATTCATTTGAGTCATCTGTGATTCCAGCGGTTGATTCTTCTCTCTCTCCTCTCTCATTCAAACTTATTTTTCATCTACAACATTGTTTTCACGCTTGCATGGTCATATAGTGCAAATTATTTTGGTCAAATCCCCTCAGTAAAACTCTATTTTAACTAAATGGCATTCTTTACCAACATAATTATAAACACATCAATGACCCGAAAAGTACCTTTTTTAGATCGTGCTAGAAAGTATCCTGTTCAACCTTTCCAATAAAAAATCGTCATAAGAGCACCGATGCCCAATAAAAATGAAATTAGCTTCTCAATTGCTAAAAACATTTCCTATTTATTTAAACATCTGATGCAATGACAAGCAATCGGGCAAACCGCTCATCCTGCAAAGGATGGATAATTAACCAAAAGTTGCAGCATCACACATCGTTCCAATGGTGATTTTTCTATGTCAAATTTGCATATCTGAGCAATAAGAAGAAACCAAATCAACTAGGAATGACTATAATTTGTGTTCATTCGAGTTTACACGTCAAAGAGCTCGCGCTTTATCATCATCGACTCTGACGAGCCCACGAACAATTTCAACCTGCAATACTCAAAACGTTGCTTTTTCAACCTGCAATACTCAAAACGTTGCTTTCCACATTAGAGCTACAAGGACGTTGCTTTTCACATTAGAGCTACAAGGAAAAAGTATGTCCAAAACTAGAGTCATTGTATGTTGAAAACTATTGTCGACTGTAATATTGCGTAGATGGTCTGCTTTAGAAACTTCAACACACAACAAACTAACTTTTTCAGAGTATACAAACTTCTTTCGCTTCTCAACATTCACTCCGCTTTACCATAATATAATACTATCTGGCCGGCATCACATACAAAACACACTTTTTCTCCCTTTTTGAACAAGAAACAAAACTTTTCATTGAATAAATGTGAAAGGACTAAGGCTCAAAAGATACAAACTCTTCATGGGAGTGAATAAGCAAGAAATAAAATAAAAATACAAGAATAGCATAATAGCCAGTTTCAAGCCAATTTGAGTTTCATCCAGATCGAGGAAAACAGGCATTTATAAGCAGCCACATGTAAGCTTACCTTTATTTATTACCATGATAACGAAGATTTCAGTGATCTTCCCGCCCATAGTTATATATGATCTCGATCTGCATAATTTCATAAATGTTAGTGTCATCTAGATTACACTCTAAAAATTGCAATAAAAAATTATCGAAGGGGCAAAGAGTAGAGAACTCAAGCCCGAAGCACATGATAAGATTAGAACAGCCAAAGAAGAAAAAAGGTAAAGAGTACGGAGCTGCGTCCTATGCTCTAATTGCTGGGAAAAGAATTTCCACTTTTCCATTTTTACGTGCTCCCTCCAGGAATAGGGGAAAGGAACCTTCGCTTACACTAGTGCTCATCTTTAGGGGAAAAAAATGCCATGTTAAAGCAAACATATTTCAAAACTGTGGTTTTAGTAGACGTTTCATTTGACCAATAAGCCAATCACAAATCATTATAATTATTGTGTACTCTGCATATCATGACCTCTATTAAAAAGCACTGAGAATGAGGTGGTTAATGCTATACCGTTCTTAGGGACACAATTGTACAACCTATAGAACAGATAATGCAATAAAAAAAAAAAGATATATGCAAGAATTAAAAAAAATAATAATAATGTCTAAAAAAAATGTAAAGAGAAGGAATGAAATTCTTATGAAAAAAAAATATATGAGAACAATCTTCTAAAGAAAACTTACCCCCGGAGGTGGAGTTGGGTTTCGCGTAAACTTAGAACCACCCGGAGCCCAAGGAACTACAGAGTAAAAGAAAAATAAAAAATTAGGATTAATAACGGCATGCATAGCCTTGATCTAAGCAGAATTGAAATAACAAACAATGAATGATACTTTAAAGTTTTAGGTGGGAGCTGGCAACCATCTGGGAACTGGGGGAAGATTGTTTTGACATAAGCATGCCTGCAGCTTAACGAAGACCATCACACTCTGCAGCTTATCCGAAGTATTAAGAATTTCTTGTTCCAAACTAATAGAAGATCATCACACTCCCTATTTCATTACCAACTATCCTGATTAAGTTGAATGTTAAACTTAGAACTCCCATGGTGGACTACAACTGGAAAGAAAAAAAAAGGGCGCAAAAAGTTCATGTCTTTATTTGGTTGGTCATGCATAGAAGCCTTAACTCTTCGGATAAGCTGCAGAGGGAGTCTCCATCTATTTGCTGTTTGTGCTTGAAGGAGGGAGTGTCTTTGGATCACATTCTGCCCTACTGCCCATTTTCCCGTTCAACACGATTTTCCTTCTTTCAGGTTTTTAAGTTGGCTGAATGTCTCCCTTAGAAGATTGATGGGTGGCTGATGGAGAGCCTAGGAGGGAAGTCCTGTCAAAGGAAGGCAAAAATTTTATGGAATTGTGCGGTGAGGGCTATTTTGTGGACGATGTGGAGAGAGAGAATTCAGGGAACCTTTGAAAATTGGCCATCTTTGGTGGATTCTTTTTGGAGAAATGTACAGCATAGTAGCATACTACTTGGTGGTGTTCAAACCAGAAGAAACTCTTTTGTAATTATAGCCTACTCATGATTACAAATGATTGGAAGGCTTTGATATTGTAGTTTGCTTCTTTCTAGGCGTGGATCTCTACCCCATCCCATCCTACGGGTGTTCTCCATTTTGTGTTTATAATACATCCCTCGTCTCTTATTTAAAAATAAATAAATAAGTAATAATATCTAAGATTTTGTGCAGGTATCTTATATTCTTGGATACTCAAGAAACATCCCTGAAGGAAAATCCAAATTTTGTGGCTAGTTACTACAATTCCAACCTACTAAACTGACTCTTAAAATGGATAAATACCATAGGTTTTTTTTAATTAAACTCACAATATTTTGTTCATATTGTTTCTGCAATACAATTTTTATTATTCAAAAAGGAGGAAGGAAACTCAACACTTTAGTGGCATTTCAAATCAACAGAAAGCATGCCTGTTATCTACAGGTCAGATTAAAGTAGAAGACCAAGAACTTAAGAGGACGATTTTGTCATTAACATGTTACGTAGTAACAGCATTTGATTTTGCATCCTTACTTTTATGAACTGCCACATGATCAGTTCATTCATGAGTGTACTTACCGATATAGGGATCAGGATGTCGCCACTTATTATAGGAAGCTTCTCCATCAGCTATCATCCTATCTATTCTGTCAAGATCTTCCTGCAAATCCACCCAAAAAAGGATCCATAAGCAATTGATCAATAACATAGAATAATTTGAATGAGGAAAATGGTGATATTTGATTCCCAGATATCATAACATTTCTTTGTGAAATCCACGCTTTTCCAGATGTAGTAAGCAGACGAAATTGAAGGATCAATCAATAATCCCAGAGAGACTAAAAGGACCGAAGAACCATAAGCATTCATTACAAACCACATTTCAATGTTTCATCAAGTAACGCACGACAATTTGAACGAAAAATGGTTGTAAGAAAAATCCACGCATTAAGGGTAGAGTCTACTCAAACATCAATCTAGCCGCACAAAAAATTATTTCATCGGTTTATATCCACATCCCTAGGTCAATTAACTCATAAGAGGTCGTTATACAGAAAATTTCAAATCAACGAAAAAACACAAAAGAACAAAAAAAAAAAAAAACGATCAAAACAAAATTAAAGGAACAGACATAGAACGAACCACGTGCTTGTTTGCATCGAATCTCTCCCGGAGGTCCGACGCCTGAAACGATGGACGATTAGAAGAACAAAAAAGACCGAATCAGTTTAGGATCGAAGAAATGTCAGAACAGAGAAATGGAAATGGACAAAACCGTATACATCTCGATAAAAGAGATGGCGATGGACAGCCCAATTGAGAGTGTCTTTGAGGGCTCGCCGGTAAAGGATCCGAACCCTCTCCTTCTGGGCGGCTCGCCGAGCCAAATATCCCGCCGTCGACGAAAAGCTCATTTCTCTCTTCTTCCTCTTTCTCCCTCTGTAGATGGCTTTGTAAATGTTGTGGATTTCAATTGGGACGGAGATAACGCCGTTTAACGATTTTGATTCCCAAAACGCACCGTTTTACGAGGATTAAGGAACGGAGGAAAGGAGTTAGAGAAAACGGGACGTTTACACGCCGTCATTGCTGAAGGGTTCCTAACTCTCCTACAATTCTCCCCATCTTATAATAAAATTTGGGTAAATATATTTTTAAATAATTTAAAATTTAATTTCAATGTGTTATTTTAGTTTATTTATAATAAAATTTATTTAATTTCAATACGGTTACATCTCTCACTGTGTAACAAACTTGCTACGAGATATGTTCGTATTGAACTAGTTGAACCCCGTGACGTTCTGCTGAGTAATGTATGTGAAACCGTATCTGGTACGTGGTTTTTCCAGTGTTGGTTTAGTTTTTGGGTCATATAACGTAATGGCTCAAGCCCACCGCAGATATTGTTCTTTTAGGCTTTTTTCTCGAGAGAAATACTAGGTCCTTTTATACATGGTTTTTCCAATGTTTGTTTACGTTAGGAGAGTTTTCATACCCTAATGTTTTGATCTCCTCCAACCGATTCGAGATATCACAATTCATTCCCCCTAAAGGCCTAGCGTACTCGTTCCACTCTCCAACCAATGTAAGATCTCATAATCCACTCCCTCGAGGGTCTAGAGTCGTACTCGTTCCACTCTTCAACCAATGTAAGATCTCACAATCCACTCCCTTGAGAGTCTAGTGTTCTCACTAGCACATCGCACGAAACCTACTTCTAATACCATTTGTAACAGCTCAAGCCCACCAGTAACAACTTTAGTCTATTATATATGCTCGTTAACCTCACAATTTTAAAACGTGTTTACCAGCGAGAATTTTTCCCACTTTCATAAAGAATGTTCCGTTCTTCTGTTCAACCAATGTGAGATCTCACGTATACCTCGAAGGATTATCTTTGTTATTGAAACAATGGATGCAGCTTTCTTTGTTCTTGAATAACAAGGTTGATTCAAGCATCTTACATAGGATTAATCTAAAACCATCCACAAAAAAACTTCATTACGCAGCTAAGATTTCACAAAAACACTGCCAGTTCGTTTCAAATCGCCATGAACCATCACCATCATCATCATCATAAAACCTTAGTATGTGTAGCCCTTGACGAACATTCCCTCCTTAGCCTCAGCGGACTCACCCTCACCAGTGTACTTCCCCAGCTGCGCAAGCGAGTTTGCCTTGGCTCTTAGAATCAAAGCATTCTGTGCGGCCTTCACATTCTCCGGCCGCCCACCCCATGTCTTCAAACACGTGTTCTGCAGAGCTCTGGCGTAGGAGAAGGACACATGCCATGGGTTTGGCGCTTGGTTCATCGCATTCAAGTTCAATGTGGCCTCTACCTCCGATTGCCCACCTGATAAAAACTGTCCCACAGCAACAAAAACACAACTCAGAGTCAGCTCGTTAAGGTAATCAACCTTAAAATTTGAAGCTCTGTTTTAATGACTTGCCATGATTCCAGGAACTGCTGGAGGGATTCTTCTTTTGAGAAGAGACAGAGTGTACTCTGCAACCTTTTCAGGGCTGGCTTTGTCTTTGTTCTCTGCTCCTGGAGTTACCATGCTTGGTTTCAGAAGAATTCCTTCGAACAGGACATTGTTTTCTGCAAGGTAGAAGAACACCTCTGCCCAAACCTTCTGGGCTACCTCGAAGGTTCTGTCGATTCCGTGCTCTCCATCCAGCAAGATCTCTGGCTCCACAATCGGCACCAATCCATTGTCCTGCAAATTTGCAAAACCCCAATCCAAAATCAATATAAAAACACCTTAAATCCATTAGGGTTTTTGTAACGGTCCAAGTCCAGGCTAGCTAGCTGATACGGTCATTAAAGTTATTAAAACGAGTATGTTAGGGGGAGATCTCCACATCCTTTATAAAGGGTGTTTCGTTCTCCTACACAACCGATATGGGAGTGGCCCAACGTCTTTGAGGTTTTCACACCCTTATAAAATGGTGTTTCGTTCTCCTACACAACCGATATGAGAGATGGCCCAACGTCCTAGAGGTTTCCACACCCTTATAAACAGTATTTCGTTCTCCTCAACAACCAATATAGGATCTCACAATCTCCCCCCATTCAGGGTCAGAGTCCTACTAGCACTCATTCCTTACTCCAATCGAGATGGGACCCCACCAAATCCATCCCCCTTCGGGCCAATGTCCTTGTTAGCACATCGCCTCATGTCCATCCCTTTTGGGGCTCAGCCTCCTCGCTGACACATCGTCTGGTATCTAGCTTTAGTACCATTTGTAACGACTCAAGCACATCCCAACAAATATTGTCCTCTCTAGACTTTCCTTTTCAAGCTTCCCCACAACATTTTCAAAACGTTCTCCTAACAAATATGAGATTTCACAGTTTCCTTAAAAGATTAAAGGGATTTGATTTGTTGAGACCTGGGAAACTGCAGCGTAGCGAGCAAGGCCCCAAGCAGCTTCCTTGACAGCCAGGGCCGATGGACCATTGGGGATACTCACAACCGTGCGCCTGCAAATCGCCATTGTTAGCATTACCAAATGATCAAATTGCGAAGAACAAGAACACGATCCATACCATTTGGCAAAACGCGCGCCCTGTTGGTAGTAAGCAGCAGCGCGAGAAGCAAGGCCATCGAGTCCTTGACACCATGATTCATTGTTGGAACCAGGAAGTGGCACCAACCCCTGTTTTTACACCATTTTAGCAGACAAAAACGCTGGGAAAAAGAGCAAAACTACCACCAATGCCCTTACCTTATCAACTTTAATTCCCGGAACAATGCCCTGCTTCACCAAAACGTCGACAATCTTCTCGCCGTCGACGGTGGATTGGTAAAGCGTCTCTTCAAAAAGTATAGCACCGGAGATGTACTTGCCGAGCTCTGGTGCAGTGACCAGCAGAGTTCTGTAAGCCTGACGGTTCGCCTCTGTGTTTTCTAACCCAATTGAATCCAAACGCTTTCCACAGGTAGCATTGGACTCATCCATGGCCAATATCCCCCGGCCCGGCGACGCCACCGTTTTCTGCAACAACCCACCAGCTCTAGAATGAATTAAAAACAAAAGGAACAAAAGGGTCTAAATGAATTATACTTACAGCTGTTTTGACCAATTCATCGCTGTAAGAGGAGGCACGGATGGTGAGGGTGGAAGGGGCGGCGGTGGGGTGGCAGCGGACGGCGGAGACGGATGGCTGCCGGAGAGACTGGCCTTTGACCCACTCGAGCTTGTCGAGAACAGGGGAGGATTTGAGAGAAGCAGACGCCATTGATGAAGAAGAAGAAGAAAAATCTTATCTTTGTTGCTTCTTCCTTCGCCAACGGTCTCTGATCTGGCTGCTGCCGCGTGGCCGCAAACGGGAAGGCTTCTCACTGTATTTATACTTGCATTGTGTTTGATTCAAGATTGCCAGCTTGAGTCCATTGTGCATCTTCAAATATTGCTCTGCCACGTGGATGATAACTTTGCTGACATGGCACTGCCACTGTTCCACATTTTTTTTTTAATATTCGTAATATTATGTAATTAATTATTTGGGTAAATTATTAAAAATATTTAAAAATTACAAACACAATACAAAATCTATTAATTTAGTGGCATTATTTTTTAAATATGAGGCTCTGATTCTCTCTTATTTGAGAGAGGAGATTCAATGGCTATGGTTTAATTAGAGGATTTGATGAGATTTGTGATAAATTTAAACAACGGTGGATAGATTGCCACGTCATCTTTTAAAGAGATTTTTTAAAATTATTTTTTATTTTTAATGATGATGAATTTCCAAATTTATATTTTTAATTTTAATTATTTGATGCAATTTTTGGGGTTAATATTAGATGGGAGGGGTAATGGTTTGTGCTTAGGAAATTTGAGTGATTTTTAGACAAAGAGAATTGGAACAAAAAAAAAATTATTATTGGGTTCATCATTCATGTAAAGATTAACTAAAATCATTCATTGTTTATTTATTTATTTATTTATTTATTTATTTATTATAGATATATAGCATTTTAAATTAAAATAAAAGGCATTTTTTAATACAGAATTTTCCAATTTCCAAAGTTTTTTTTTAATTATATCTTCAATTATACTTTTGTTTACAGTGTCAGGGAAAGTAGATTCCCAATGTTTCACAAGATAAGTAATTCATAAAAAGGTGAAATAAATAAATAAATAAAAACACTAAAACCCTAGCCAACTCAGCTGCATTTAGCTTATAAATAATATTATCACAATTTCAATATTTAGAAAAAAAAAAAAAAAAAAACATACATTTTTGTTAATTAGTACTCAAATTCTTTTAAATCATAATTTTTGGTGAAAAATTTAAATTATGAATTAATATACATATTATTGACGGAGGTTGTATAACAGATATACCTTACGTTAAATATAACAATTTAAGAGGATAGTATCTGCTAGCGGATAGCGGTTAACTTGAGCTGATATAAATAGTGGGACGGTACGTGGCACTAAATAGGAATAAATCTTATCTATAATAGATGTGTTCTAAAACCGTAAAGACCAAAACGGACAATATCTAGCCGTGGACTTTGACTTTGACTGCGTGATTTATATATATATATAATGAATTAAAAAAGATTTTGTTGTTAGAGACGAGCATCCTAACGAACTAGACTACAATAAAAAATGAATGAGTGGTATTGATTATTTAAATAATTAATAATATTAAATATTATATAATACATATTTTTTTAATTCATCAATCCCCATTATTTATTTTATTTGATTAAAAGTAAAACAAAATAAAAAGTCACAACAAGCTTTTTTTTTTTTTTTAATTATAAATATAGTTTTAATAGAACTTTCAATATTATAAAATTCCAGTGGTAATTCGAGTGAAATTACCAAAACAAGCCTCTACCCTCTTTCGCTAAACCGCCAAGATGAGAGACCATCATCCTTTTGTGCTTTATCTAAAAAACCGGGAAAAAAAAAACCCCCCCCCCCCAAAACTCGCCTTCCTTCCTTTTTCGTCCGCCGTC